ACAGTGCAGACCCAGATACCGGACCTCAGTACGAGCAGGTCAGCATCAGCTTCATCCGCGGATGGACGCGAGACTCCCGATACCACCGAAATGAATAACTCTGACGAAGAAGCGACGCTAGTTTACGCACCAGCGGCCCTGTCACTCACTGAGCCAGGCACCCAGCAATGCCGCCGAGGAGCCATGGAGGATAGCGGCGCCAGCGACCGCGCCTCCACAACCGGACCCGAACGATCACAAGTGGCCGCCACGTCTCACCCCAACGTCAGAAAAACGGCACAACCTACGGGCACGAGCCAAAAGTGGCCAGCCGGTCTGACAATTGTTGAGCACCATGCTACGGTCGGTGCAGCAAACCGCTATACAGCTGCAAGAGGGCATGCGGAAATAATTCGGTCTACGTGCGCGCTGCCTCGAGGAATGCTTCTTCGACGGGAAGCGTCGTTATCGGCTTATTCCCAACTACCACCAAGAATTGAGGGTTATTGAACTACCCTGGCTTTCAACCGCCGTGCGCGGCCCCCGCCGCACCCGAGACACCGAGATACCGCGTGCAGTACAGTAACACCAGCCAACAACAAAAATCAGAACAACAACGATAATCCGTGAAAGCTCGTGGTTATTACCACCAACAATTCTACGTACCAACCCAATACAAACAACAGTCATCTAAATCCACGAATGGGGCAACCTGGCGAACGATTTCGCAGAGGCAACGTCCATCATAAATCTTCACCAACAATCAGGGTCGAGTCGACAAATTGCGAGTCCATAGTGGCCAACGTTGACACAACCCGTACCTCTCTGGCCAACGGTCCGGCATCCCAAAATCGGAAAGCCAGAGGTAGATGAGGGCTGATGGGATCTCCGGCCAACGAACCGACAGTCCGATGTCGGAAAGCCGATGATACACGAGTGTCCGTATGACACTCCATCAATGAGAGGCGTGTGTCACGCCCGATGGCACTGCGCCTATCTTGAAACAATAGCACCCTGCTCTGCATAGGCAACAGGCACTACGCCCATCTTGAAGCAGCAAACACTGCTATCTAACGCCATAAAAATCATAACAGCATCACTCAACATTACCTCGATTGCAACAGCAATCAGCACCCGCCACACCGAAGCCATCACCGACAGGCCAACCCCGGAGAGGCACATCTCCAATCACTTCTTCCCCCTAAAGAACGGAGGATTTGTGAGGAGCCAAAGTCGGACCTCGTTTTGGTTTGAAAATTTCTCCGTCTCTAATAGGGGGAGAGTGCTAGCATGAGGTAGACAATAATTTAGAGCATAAGTTAGAGATTATGTAGAATAAGAGTAGGACTAAGAGTAAGGTTAAAATAAGACTAAGAGCAGGATAAGAGTAGTGCTAAGGTAGATTAATGAGTAAGTAAAAGTTACTAAGTTTAGTTGAGGGGAATCGGTCGAGAGCGGCGAGGGTGACGAAACGTCTCACCCATTAAACATGGACTGTTCGTATTTTTGATTATTATTTTGAAGTAGAGTGAAGTATTACAAAATAAAGTGATGAATATTATACCGAACAATACTATAAATTTCTTGTGACTAAATGCCTAGGCGGCTGAGCTACCCCAGCCCCAGAGAACGGGCAAGTTATGCCCTTACAATATCTTCATTTAAAGAGTGTGCAAAATGGTTGTAAATATTTTTCTTGCTTGCCTTATGATAAGTAAGCGTAAAACCTCAAAGAAGTGGAGAAAATAAAATTTAATTATTTGTAACTTTATGTGGGTATAGCTGATTTTTTCAATTTTTGCACGTAAAGATTAGATTGTCTTGTAAAGTAAATATTGGAAATTTCAATTAGAAAACTTTTATAATTTCTGAGTAACGAGCGAAAACCCACAAATTTTTTTTAAAAAAAACGGAGTTGCGTTCAGTTTATATTCCACTGCGGGCTTCTGCTCTGAGCAATTTGGCCCATTTTCAATACCGATCTGGGTGAAGGACCCTCCAATGTTTCTGCCAAATTTAAAGTGGATTGCTTCATTTTTGCGGCCAGGAGAATGTTTACAACACACATTACACAGGCAGGCATACTTAAATCAAGTTAGGATTTGTCGCTGATCAAGAATATATATAGTTTATGGCGTCTCTGATGCTTTCTTCTGGGCAACGCGAACGTTTTGACAAAATGAATATACCGCTCATCCGTCGGCGATGGATATAAAAATATACGTCTATTCTAAACTTTTATTTTACATAACTCTTAAAGTACTTCTTAATTTTGTATATGATGATTGTTATTATTGTTGTTAATAGTTTGGTGGGTACTTCGATGCTTACTTTACCGCACCGCCTCGATTATCTACTGTCACATTGTTTTATTTAGATTGTAAGGGTTCCATTACAGATATATTGTTGGTTAAGATGACTGTAGGTGAATTTACACCGATTTTCTTTTATGAAGATAACTGCTAGAATGTTGGTTATTCGCTTTTGTGAGAAGTGTGTTCTACGATAAGAAGAGATAATCATCATATATTGGGAAATGCTATATTTATTTGGGTAAGTTCACTTCGGACTTCGTGGCTGCCTTAGTGAATGCATGTATATACTAGTTACTAGTTATGACATGCTTTTTATAACTTGTTATTCTCTGCGCATTATAAACAATAATAGTAAATTACTTATAATTATTTTTTTCTAAATTTGCCGATTGTATGGATCATTTTGCCTTCAAGAGGTATAACAAACGTTAATACTGCAAGTTAATGCAATGAACTCTTGAACGCATTTGTGAATATATTCAATGAAAATAAAACATGACTGTGTACAAAAAAAAATTAGATGACGGTATTCGGTAGACAAAACAATTTTTAAAGTAATTAAAAAATTAAAGGCGATAAATAAGTCAGAGAAAAATTTTCTGTATTTTCTGTATATAAATTAATTTCGCGCAAAGATAATAACAATTGCACGAGAATAAAACAAATTAATAAATATGCGGTGTGGGTAACTCACTCGTTTGGTAAAATAGTAACGTAATAAAAATACACATAGGCAAAAATGTTCTGTAAAAAGGCAACTTTCTTCAACTAAAAACTCGATTTTTCACTACCCAAAATTTATTAATAAAATATTTTTTCAAGCATACCTATTTTCTTACAATTCAAATATAGCCGCGAGTGGCCGAGTAGGCAAAGAATCTCGACGAACAACATAACGGATGTGAGTCCAAATCTCAAGTGCGGTAAAGTTTTTAATACAGCCGGTAGCTTAGATGGTAGTGCTTTGAGAATTTAGTCTTAGAACTTACTTCTCTGTCTAAATGAATAGTAAAAATAATAATGATACTATTCAAACATACATGCATTAACCGTCAGAGTAGCCATCAATCCTGTGCTTAAAACTGTTATTAACCACCACAAATAGATAACAATGGCATTGGCGTAAATGAACAAAAGAAAAGATGCAGTTAATGAGAAGTGAACTAGAAGCACAAGATATTAGCTAATGATGATATGATTAATCATGTGGAAATTGTAAAATATATCATTGAGGCTGTGTGGTAAATGCACAAACGTAACAGTTTTTAAAGGTAAGGAAGGAAAGTAAAATAAAGAAAATAAGCAACCGGAACGTTCCCAACAATCCCTGTCTACCTAATCACCCGGTGACAAACGCATGTAGATCATTCATTTGATTTGGCATAAATGATGATTTTATTAAAGTTTCGCGGCTATTCATCCCCATCATTTTTTGTGTAATTTTACTAAGTAGCAACTACTACAACAGTAATATTTAAACATTCAGTGACTACTGAATCGGTTCTTTATTATTTCTAACAATTTTCACATAGCGTAATAGAATATATCTCAATTACAAAAGTGGCCATTTTGCTCAGCGTTGTTAAAGTCGCAACGCACGTCAAGAAGCATGGTCTTGTTAGTACATCAACAAAGTTTATGAATTTATTTCTTTTTATATTTTATTGTTTGGTAATTAATCGGTTTAACCAATTATAGGAATTTTAACGTAGTAATGTAAACCAAAACAGTGGAGTTTCGTTCCGACCAAATCTGATCTGGCAACCTCGTGAGTGTTAAGTCGAAGTATTACTAATCGCTGTACAAAATTTCTATTTTATAAATTATTTGCATAAATAATCTTAAATTTTCAAATATATTTTGTTTACAAAGTACCGAAGATTTTAGCAACGTGTGTGTTATTTTTATGTTATACATTGAATAACATATAAATTGCGGTTTTTGGCTATTTTGCTTTTGCTATTTTCTTCTTCTTCTTTTCTTTTGCACGTATAATATATTGTGGTGCATAGAAATTTTTGTCTTGGTTTTCTTAAAAGTGCTTGAATGTTCCAGTTTTTTGCCCAGGCGGTTTGTTGTCTTATATATTTTGTCAATTTTATTTTTACAAATTTTACAATTTTTCCAACCTGTTTTTGCTGCTTTTTATATATTTGTTGATTTATTTATAACTTTTAATATGTACTGCTGCTTTTCAAACTCTAAGTTACGTAAAAGTACTGATGAATTATTTTTGTTTTGCTGCTGGTGTGATGGCTCGGCTCATTCTAAATGCGCTAGATTTAAAGAAAAACAAATTTTTTAAATTAATTTCAGTACGTATGGGCTCCGATGGACTTGCCCTAATTGTCGTGATATGGATGTTAATGTGTTTAAAGTAATCATGCAAACACGTAATGGGTTTAAAGATGTAAAATTAATAATGAATGATTGTTTAAATAAGCTGGCTTTGGCTGAAGATAACTTTTCTAAATGCCAATACCTCGAACAGACTGAATTATTACCTCACAACGTTCGTTGGTCGCCCGCATCTTCAATGGTTCTGTCGACTTAACGACTGAAACACTGTCAACTGATTGTGCTGGTAAAGCATCGGTAGATGCTTCTATTGGTACTCCTGTTTATAAGGTTCCTAATTTGAACTTGAATAATAATTTGAATTTGAATAATAATTTGAATTTGAATAATAATTTGAATTTGAATTATAATTTGAATTTAAATAATAATTTGAATTTAAATAATAATTTGATTAATATACCGGAAGCGGTTGTAAATAGTCCTAGTTCAGATGGGCATAGGACGCCTTAGGACGTTCCAATTTCCATTTTCCCGTTGCCTCGAATCCCGGTGGCTCAGTCTATTGTTAGAATAGTTGATTCGTCAGTAACCAAGGCAATGGATGGGCTATACAACCATGATTCGGTTGAGTTCGTTGCAATACCTACGCGTAAGTCTATTTTTGTGTCTAGATTATCTTCGGATACTACGACTGAGAAAGTTTTGAAATACATTCAATGTAAGCTTACTATTTCGAATCCATCAATGGTTAGTGTTTTCAAGTTTAATGTTTCACATAACCGTGACATTTCATCTTTTAAAATATTTGCACCTGCTGCGATGTTTGATAATCTTTTTCAAAAAAATTTCTGGCTGGAAAATACTTTTGTTAAGGAGTTCGTGGTTCGTAAAACGACCAGATCTCCTGCTAACCTTAATGAACCGTCTGTGTCTTCAAAAAACTAGATTTGCTGATATTATTTCAAAACGTTCGTGATTTAAACACAACATTACAGTCGGCTTTTCTGAGTTCAGTTGGTACTGACAATCACGTAGTGGTGTTTACGGAAACGTGGCTTAAACCTGATATTAACGACTCTGAAATATTTTGTTCTAGATTTCAAGTGTATAGACATGGTAGAATGGAAAGATTAGGTGGTGGTGTATTAATTGCTGTCGATAATTGTTGTGCCTCGTCAATAGTCAGTTTTCCTGTGACTGTTGATGTAGAATTTATTTGCGTAAAAATTGTTCTTAAAAACTGTATGATGTATATAGCCTGCTCTTATATCCCTCCAATGTCTGATATTTCTATTTACTTGAAACATTTACAACTGATAAAACTCGTGGTGAATGATCTAAAACCTTCAGACAAAATTTTGGTTTTAGGAGATTTTAATTTACCGTTTGTATCGTGGTGTTGTGACGAAGACTTTGGTTATTACACTCCTGTATCTTACCCCTTGCTATACACTGACATTTTTGAAGAAATTTACGAGCTTTGTCTATTCCAAAATAACTCAATTGTTAATAATAATGGTCGACTTTTAGATTCAATTTTTTTTAACTACTCAAACGTAAGTGTAACTCGTGTGGATCCGTATATTTTGCCTGAAGACATACATCATCCTACATTGGGGATAAATTTAGGCATTCTGCAAACTATCCAAGTCCTTAATAAGACTTGTAATAAAAGACATACATTTAGGAAAACCAATTATAATAAACTTCATGATATTCTGAGTAGCTTCCACTGGAACTTAGAATATTCTGATATTGATGGTTCACTTGATTCTATTTATAATATTCTCTTATATGCTATATATAAGTCGGTGCCTACACAATCAGACAGTTATTTATCAATTTATCCTATTTGGTTTAATAAACATCTTAAGCTGATCAGAAATGAAAAGAGTGGATTGTTTAAAATATTTAAACTTAGTGAACTCGTTATGGATTATATACGTTATTCGAATGCTAGACGTGAATACAATTTTGAAAAAATAAGTCTTATGTGGTGTATTTGCAAAGGATGAGAAGTCAATTATTTTTTAATCCTAAATGTTTTTATAAATTTTGTAAACTTAAAATGTAAGGTTAATGGTTTTCCATCTGTAATGAGCTATGAAAACGTTGAATCAACGGATCTGTCTGTTATTAGTAATTTCTTTGCAATCTTTTTCGAAAAAACGTATTCAGCTAATAGTTTGACATATGAGAAACATCCTTATATTATCAATTCTTTCGATCATTTTCCATCTATTACTTTTACAGAAGCTGAAGTTTTCGATGCTCTGCGAAATGTAAAACTTTGTTATTTAGTCGGCCCAGATTTGATTCCCGCTTGCATAGTTCGTGCTTGCGGTAATTTTCTTTATCTTCCATTAACCAGTATATTTAATAATTGTATTAGATGCGGTTACTTTCCTACTATTTGGAAGAGTAGTTTTATTATTCCTTTATATAAAAAGGGTTCCAGAGGAAACATTGACAATTATCGTGGGATTGCTAAACTAAGTGTATTACCGAAGATCTTGGAATCACTTATAGTTAATAAACTAAAACCGTGTTTATCCATGATTTTGTCTGATTGCTTCATGGCTTCACAAAAAATAAATCTACAGCCACAAATTTATTAGAACTGACTTGCTCTATTTTTATATAAAGTTTTTTAATACTAAGTTCAATTCATTATAAACAAAAATCTTGTTTATAAAAAACAAAAAATAAACTTTTAATATCATAATAAATTGTAAGTAATTTAAAAAAAAAAAACGATGAGAATCTTTTTCAAGCTAAGTACATTAGCT